AGGCTATGGTTGAATAACATTTTTGGTAATACCTCATGAACACAAAATGGGTTCTGCCCAACTTACATATATTTTAGAGCTCTGGGAAAACTTATTTATTGAGTAGGCATTTATTAAATATTTTATGTTTAAACACTAATACCACAAATAGGAATACTAAAGAAATATAGGACAGGATCCTTATTCTCTAGCTATTACAAATGTGATTTGGGTATAAAATAGTTAGCAATGCAATAATGTATTCGGTCTGTTCAGGTGCCAGAATCAGTAGTATGGCCAATATATGCTGTGGGGTTCAACGGGAGGAGACGCAGGATGGCTTCACACTTGTTTTCAAGAAACAGAAAGTAGGTGGGCCAGAGCCGGCAACGCAGGGAGAAGTAGGGCAGGCTGAGAAAATTCTTGGACTGCTGGGTACAAATTCTAGTCTTTCTGTCTGTTTAACTGGGAGTCCCTGGAATGACATACTTTTCAGGGTGCTAAATGTGTAGGTGTTTGTAGGAGAGAGAGGAAACAGGACTACCAGTGAGTAGGCTGTTGGGGATGTTGTCGTAATGGAGGTTTGAGGTAACAAGGTAATGAGGGCCTAAACTCGGGATGAAAAAGGATAGGTTAAAAACATACTTCGTGAGGGCGCCTGGGTGGCTCAGTTGGTTAAGCGACTGCCTTCGGCTCAGGTCATGATCCTGGAGTCCCGGGATCGAGTCCTGCATCGGGCTCTCTGCTCGGCAGGGAGTCTGCTTCTCCCTCTGACCCTCCTCCCTCTCATGCTCTCTGTCTCTCATTCTCTCTCTCTCAAAAAAAAAAAAAAAAAAAGTTAAAAACATACTTCGTGAGAGGAGCTGACTGAATCTGCAGCCAGCTTCAAAGAATCTCAAGTTTACTGAATGGTGACTAGCTAAATACGGGGAATGGAGGAGGGAGAAGAGTCTACATATGTTGCACTTAAACTAAATGAGAAATAACCACATGACTCAAAGGCAAGGGGAAGGATGGAATGGGTATTAGATCAGTCAGGACTAGAGATACAGATTTGAGAGTCCCTAGCCTCTAGGTAAATTAAATCCATGAGAGAGCATCAGTTTACTGTAAAAAACAGCATACAGGAAAGAGAACAAAGAGCCAAGGACACAGTCTTGGGAAAATTTAAATGTGCAGCTACAGTAGAAAATGAGAAATACAATGAATAGTAAGAAAACCAAGAATGTGCAGTGTTGCTCAACTTGCTTTGCCAAGAAGTGCTTCTATAACCTTCAAAGGCGAACTCTGAGTAGCAAATTGGTAAGCTGGTAAGTCCGAAAAGATGCCACATGTATATATCTATTTTCCAGTCCAGAAAGAGAAAAGAGGAAAAAGAGAAGACTGTAGCTAAAGAATTATGTACTGTCAGAGGAAAACTGTACTTTTGTTGTTGCTGTTAGTAACCATCATCACCCCCCAATTTGGGGAAAGACTTGTATGTTTGATGGCAGAGGGAAAGATGCCAAGAGGGGCAAAGACCAAAGATCTCACAACAGGGCAGGATAATGTAGGAAATGAGACCCTCTAGGAACAGGAAAGAAAGTGATACAGAATAAATGAGAAAAGAATAAGCTTTAAGGATAGGCTCCCATTTCAATGAAACAGTTCACACTCAAGAGAGAAAACATTCTTCTTTTTCTTTGGGATGTGGAAGGCAAGGCCATCTGCCAAGAAAGAGTGGAGAAGGCTACTGGAATCTTATCATGGTGGCAGAGGTAGCAGGCTGGTTAAGGGCTTATGGAAAATAGAAAGAGACGCGAATAATCATTGTGAGTAATGCAGCAGATACAATTTTTGTAATTCCACAAAGCAGTAAAGAAGGCTCTATAGAAGACAATTCCATCTACTCACCAGATTTTTCACACAACAGGTTGTTGAGTGTTGTGTAGGTTGTGTGTCTGCATGAGGCACAACATCTGTGAGGGTACAGTGATACCGCTGACCTCCTAGAGTGGAATATGCATTTTTTTTTAAAGGTTTTCTTATTTTTTTTTTTTTAAGATTTTATTTATTTATTTGACAGAGACAGAGACAGTGAGAGCAGGAACACAAGCAGGGGGAGTGGGAGAGGGAGAAGCAGGCTTCCTGCTGAGCTGGGAGCCCGATGCGGGACTCGATCCCAGGACCCTGGGATCATGACCTGAGCCGAAGGCAGTCGCTTAACCAACTGAGCCACCCAGGCGCCCTGGAATATGCATTTTGATACTTCTTGGCTGAAGGTACAGAATACCTTAAGGGAGGTATGTTTTCCTCTAATTTTCACAGACGCAGTATGGGCAATTTAAAAGTCAGGGCTTGAATAAAGGTCTACATAAAAGAGAGACAGGACAAATTTGATCCCTCCTGGGATACATTCTTTTCTCTGCCAATTCATGTACATTGTTATTCAGTTTGATACATTTATAACTTATTGAAGAGTTACTATATGCCAAATGCCCCGGATCATCAAGACAAGCCAAACATAGCACCTACCCTCAGTGAACTTCCTTACAGGCCAGGAGAGTAGACAGACCGGGTCACTAACAACGGCAGTTTAACACGGCAAATGCAGTGGTAGCAAGTGCACAGAATGCTGAAAGGGTACAGAAGAGGAATGTAGCTCTACCCAGCAAGCAGGCACATCAGGGGAAGGTTTTTAAGAAAGGCTGAGATTTCGTTTGCATCTTGGGAGGATAAACAGGAGTTAGCCAGGCAAAAAAAGCACAGAGAAAGGCATTCCAGGCAGAGGGAACAGCATGGAAACTTTGAGTACAAGTCATCTCAGTGTGAAATCAACTTTGGTAGTTTCTGTGGATGGTGAAAAGGATGAGTATCGAAATGGGGCAAAAAATAAGGTCAGAGATATGGTTAGGGGCCAGTAAATGAATGGACATAAGTACTCGAGTTGTCAAGAACAATGGACTTTATCCTGAAGGTGATGGGGAACTACTGAAAATTTAAAATGGGTTAGTGATACAATCAGATTGGCATTACAGCAAAATCAAAGTCATGTACCAAAATGAGATGAACTGGAACAGAAGAGTTTAGAGATGAAGATAACAACATCAGGTTTATCTAAGAGTCCAAAGGAGGGCTTGACTGAGCTTTAGATGAAGAGAAGATAGGGAGAGGCATTAAGACGAAGAACTACAGAACCTGGTGATTGATTGGCTGTGAGTGTGACCCAGAGGGGATCTAAGATGACTCCCAGCTAGAGACCTGCTAACAAAATGTGTGGAGTCTGGAGGAAAAAGAAAATGTGGGGCCCTTTGTTCAAATATCACACCTGGGACAGCAGAACATGAAACCAAGTGTAGGTCCCTTCTGTGCTCCCTTAAGCTGGTCCAGCTCTCAAGATTCTAGCTAGGTTAACGAAGTGAATGGATGGTTTGTAACCCTTTTAACGGTAAGTATGATGCAATCCAGTTTTGTACATTTTTGAGTTTGGGGTGCCTGTGGAAAATCCGGTTCAGGCTGGAGACATAAATGTTTAACTCTGAAGTGGAAACTAAGGAATAGACCAGATTGCCCAGTTTATGTGTAAAGCAACAAGAGAACCTTGGTGGAGCCTCCAGAGCATCAATAGGTGATGCGGATGAAAAAAGAACCATCTAAAACAAGAGCTGGTAGGAAATCAGAAAAGCCAAAGAACAATTTTAATCTCAACAACCCCAAGAAGCTTTGTCTCCTTTTACTTTCACTCATTCCTTTAGATTTTATTTTATTGTTATGATCTGTAGCTTGCCCCCTCAGCTGATTTCTCTGCATTTATTTGGCAATCTGACTTTAAGTTCCTTGAAGGTGGATTTCAAGTCTTTTTTATGTCCTTTAGAATGACTGTTCCAGTGATATATAAAGCAATTACGTCGTTAAGAAAGTCTTTTCTGAGAACAGAATGCTGGCAACTTGACTTACATTTATTTTTTCAAAAATGTTGCAGAATGAGACTTTTTCAAAGGAAACTATCCTATCATAGTTTTGTAAAGGGAAATAACAGTTAAGGGGAAAAGTGACTATGAAAATTATTTTTATTACAACAAAATACCCTAGCAACTATAGATATGTATATGTAATACATGCATGCATGTGTCTGCATATGCATAGCTTGCTTTTGGGGGAAAATAGTCTTTTAAACTACTCTAAGGTACCAGTTTACAATGCAGATCAGGAAATACTTGATAGAGCATTAAAAAAAACAATTTTAAACCAACTGGACAGGACGCAGTTTCAAACTGGTGACCAAATTTCCAAAACCAAAGCGGGAGGAGAAACCTGATGCCTGCATACCGGGGACGGCAGGCGCAAGCAGTGGCCCCAAGCTGACACGCAGGCAACAGCGGACTGGTTCTTGGCTGGTGTCAGGGGAGCCTCCCCCAGGGGCTGAGGCTATTTTTACCAGCATCTTCGCGGGCCACCGACGCGGGCACGTCCCCGGCACGTCCTGGCGCAGGCTCCCGGCTGCCACGGCCGCCTCCCCGCCCCTCAGGCGGCGACCCTCCCTCAGCCCGGCCAAGGGGCAGGCGGCCAGGCCGAGAGCCGCCGCCTGCTTCCCCGCATCGACCCGGAGCCCCTGCCCGCAGCGCCGCCCGGCCCTCGCCAGCATCCCGGGTTGCGGACAGCTCCTGCCGCCCGCTCCGCCCCCCGGGGCCCGGCCCGCGGCCTCCGCCGGCCGGCCCCACGCCGGACCCCACAGGCCTCCCCGGGCCCTCCTGCCCCCAGCGCGGCGGGGCTCCCAGACCTGCTCGGCCGCCGCCGCCGCCGCCACCGCCGCCGCCGCCATCTTCCCGCGCCCGGCGCCGCCGCCCTCCCCGCCGCACCTCGCGCGCCTGCGCCTGCGCCCTGGCCGGCGGGGGGGGCGTCCCGCTCCCCCCATCGCCCCTCCCGCCCCGCAGCCCCGCCCGGGGGAAGGGAGGTTCCGTGTGCGCGGGGGCGGGGGGTTCGCCGCCCCTGCGTCCAGCGCTGTGGCCTCGGGGCGCGCCTTGCCGCGCGCCGGTGTCCACGCGAGCTCCGGCCGCCTCTGGATTCTCCCGAAAGGGCGCTTCAGAAGAGGGCGACGCCTCTCCCTTCGCCCTCCGTTCCCATCACGGAGGGCTGGTGCGGTCCCGAGCTGTGACGTCCTCCTTGCATCATGGGCCGGGGTCTCCCTGGCCAGGGTGGCAAGGGGCGCTTTGGAGAGCACTTAGGGACAGGGGTGGTGACAGTGTGCGTGGAAGTTAACACGTTGCCAGTTAGCCTGCTAAAATCTGGGAAACTGAGAGGCCTCAAGGAGGACGTAAAAGTGCTTTAGGGATGCTTCTTGACTTTGGAGGGCCTGTGAAGTCTGATGCTTTCTTCTGTGGTATTGGGGGTGGGTTTTCCATTTAGTATTGGAGACAGTGTTGTCGATATACGTCGTGGGGAACCCAACCTAACAGATACTCACTGCACACCGGGAATGTGCCGCCCAAATGTACAAGTAACTTGAATACACATTCCTTGTTCCTTGTTGTCAATAGAATCCAACGCTCTTTGTAGTTTTTCGGTTTTTGTTTTCAGGGCAGTGAAACTGAGGTGTAAGAACTGTTCCTCAGGTAGCTGAAACCACTTCTAGAAAGCACCTTTGGGCCCCAGCGCTACCTAAGTCAGCAGGAAACCGCAAAGAGACCAGCTGGCAAAAGCTTTCTTTCTCTAGGAACCAGGTCAGTTTTGCTTTTTTTTGATGACTGGGGCTGTTATTTCATGGCTCTGCCTGCTTTCCATCAGAACATTGCTGTGAAGTTGAAATTAGATGATCTGTTGCATAAGAAATCCCTCATAAACTTTCCCCTTCTCTCTGGATTTTGGCTAATGTCAGTAGCTCACTGGTCATCAATCTCTATATTTAATCTTCTTTCCCAAATGCTAGAACCACTGACTCACATCTCTATGCTCAGTGCTGCTAGGATCTCTAGGACAAACCTGCATCTTAACCAGGACAACTGCAAATTGTAGCCCAAAGTGTTGGAGTCAGCAGTAAGTCTGTTAATGGCTCTGGTTCCATTTATCAACTCAGATAACTGGGCTTTTGACTGATCCTCAGTTCCTGTCTCTAGTTCTGGTCCTTACTTCCTATGCTTTGCCTCTTTTTCCTTTGCTTGGAAAGAGCTTCTCTTTTTCTCTCTGGCAAGCACTCTATTCATCCTCCTAAAATCCATCCAAATGTCACATTCTCTCTAAAGCCTTCCCAGGCTCCCACAGGCAGTTTTTAGCTGGTCTATCCCTTAACTCTGCTCTGTCTTTTGTAGTACATCATGTTGCGTTGTATTTTATCTTGTTTACTTGTCCGATGTCACCTGAAAGATGGGCTCCCTGCTCAGTGGGGAGTCTGCTTCTCCCTCTGACCCTCCCCCCTCTCATGCTCTCTCTCTATCTCATTCTCTCTCAAATAAACAAATAAAATCTTAAAAAAAAAAAAAAATCTTTCCTCCCCAATCTGCTCTTTGGGTGTTCCCTTAATGTATGACACCACCATCCAGTCAGAAACCTTCAAAGTCATTCTATACTCTTTGTAGTGTGATCTTTCTAAAAATACAAACCCAATCGTGACACTCTTCATCCTGAACTTGAAAATCCTCCAATAACTTTCACAATGAGAATTCTTTATATTAGCACATAAAGTTCTGTACTTTCTGGTCCCTGTCTACCTCTTTTTTAGCCTCATTCCCTGCCCCTTCTACAAACTCATCCTACACTCCATCCTATACTACCATGTGTGGTATTTGCAGTTCCCATCTGTTTGCCTGAATGCATCAAGTTCTTAATGTCTCTGTGCTTTTGCAGATGTGGCTATTTCTCTATTTTATCTGGCAATTCTCCTCCTTGTCCACCAAAACTCAGCTCAAGGGATATTTCTTCTGGGAAGCCCTTCTTAATTTTTTTTCCTCATCACAAATTTCTGATTTCTGTGGCCCCCAGTAATTGCTATTGCACTGATTTGCTATGATGACCTTTTGATACTTAATAATACACTATCTTGTGTTATTTTACTTTTCATGCACGTATAGTTTGCTCCAGAGTAGACTGTAAGTTCATTACAAAGCAGGGGGAATGTGTTACAACTTCTGTGCTCCTGAAAGTACTGGGAACCAAGTAAATAATAGGTACTTAATAACTGATGAATGGGGCACCTGGGTGGCTCAGTTGATTAAGCGACTGCCTTCGGCTCAGGTCATGATCCTGGAGTCCCTGGATCGAGTCCCGCATCGGGCTCCCCACTTCTCCCTCTGACCCTCCCCCCTCTCATGTGCTTGCTCTCTCTCATTCTCTCTCTCTCAAATAAATAAATAAATAAAAATCTTTAAAAAAAAATAACTGATGAATGAATATTGGATTAATTTTCTTCTGTTGGGTAAAAAATATTACCGACATCTAAGTGTCTCTGACAGATGTCCACTGTAATGCTCACTCATGCATTACTCCAGAGAAGAACCTCATTAACTCTCAAATTTGTGTCTCGTATGCATTCTTTCTGGGTCCATCACTGCTCCAAATTTCACCTCTCGGAGCATCAATATGATATAAAAAAGAGACTCAAACATATCATTTTTCTGTTTACAGCTCTTTGCTGCTTCCCCACCGCCTACAAAATCATGATCAACTTCTTTAGCCTGATATACAAGACTTATCACAGTTGAACCCAGGACTATCTTCACAGTCTTGTCTCTGATTCCCTGAATACCCTACAGTCACCCTGGACTAGCATTCATCATTCTCTGCCTGTCCATGCAATTTCATGCCTCTTTGCTACTGTCCATTTTGTTCCATCATCTCTTCTCTTCCTGGTGAAACTCCTCTCCATCCTTTCAGATCTGGCTCTAAATGTCACTCTCTTCTACAACTTCCTTTGGTCCTTTCTTCAGGGAGCTGGATGAGGAAGTAAGGGAAGGATCAGTCAGTATTTCCATAGAATTTTATATTTACTATTGTAACTTGTCACATTGATCTATGGTTACATATCTCTCTTCTGAATAGATTGTGAGATGCTAGGGAGCAGAGACCAAGTCTAATCCTGCCTTATGATTAGGGCAGATGTTTCTGTCACCTAGAAATTCAGTCAATGTTTATCAAATGTGATGAAAAAACCTATTTCAACATCCTTTATTTTAGGGACTGCCCTCGTGTGTCCCAGGTCCTCTCCTGGGATGTTTAAGGACATCTTATGGTGTAGATCACACCCAATATACATTTGCAACACCTTAATGTATCCTAAGAGCACCCTTCGATGGCCATTTTCAGAGCCAAGTATTTGCCATTGCATTTAGCTAGCGGAACTGAAAACATTGAGGGCAAGCATGCCTCAATATTCCATCACAATGGTAATGAAAACCTGTGTTGTGATAGGAGGGTTATCTATGGCTCTCAAAAATCACACTAAATTGGCTCCCCCCTTCTAATCTGTGTTTGCTACAAAAGCTCTATAGTTTATTTAGGTGCTAAGGTGATACAGTTGTGATAGATTAAAATTTTCCTCTTGTTTGTGTCGCGTAACCAAGAAGAGGCATGAAATAATTTTACAGAAACATTCTGAACTGTTGCTGTGAGCAGGAAATGCTTATTGGCACGACACAGGAAACAGGATCCCTGCTTTCTCTGTGGTGGGGGAGCCTGCCTTCAGCTCAGATCCCAACCAATTGGTTCTTTCTCCAATGGGCAGTGGGTTTTTGTTTTTGTTTTTTTTTGTCTTTTAAAATATTTTCCTTACCTGCAATGTAGCTGAGAATAAAAAGGACCTAATGAAGCTGATAAAATGAGTATAGGGAGCCCTTAGACTAGAGAACATGAAGTACATGGACAAATGTGTGTTTTGCTACCTGTGAATGGAGACAAAGCACCTCAGCAAGACTACCAATGAAAACTGGATTTAAAGGAAGCTTCATGCAAGTGGGTGAGAAAAGGTTAAAAGATTTTCTTCAGATGGCACTAGGCCCTACCCTAAAGAAGGTCCTAACACAGACAGCTGTGGGACGAGAATAGCACAGCTCACAGAAGAGGATCAGGGGCGCCTGTAAAAGCATCCAGGCCACAGCTGAACAGAATATTCTTTTCAGCCATACTGGCTAAGGGTGGGCAACTGTCCTTAGTGAGGAAGAACTGAAAATGATGATGAGGATTCCACTGTATATCCTTGCAGTTTGTTGTATGTATTTATGTTTAGTGCAGCATGGAACTCCGTACAAACACACCTCTCACTACAGTGAGTGGGTTCAGTGAATCTTTTGTTGGCTTCTTAAAATCCCCAACTAAAAATCTCCCCAGTTGACCAATACAGGTAAAATTTAGAGTTAAGGACTCTAAAATTAAGCACTTTTCCTATTCCATCCAGACGTTTGTCACGTGACACTTCTCTAGAACAAGTGGCTCCTGGCTGGGTGGTAGAATTATGACGCCATAAGAACCACCAACTGGCTATTAAAACTTTGCTTTCTTTTGCCTCAACAGGATTATGACATCAGATATAAAGCAGCCAATCGTCTCCTCCCTCCCTTCCTTCTTTCCTTTTTTCTTTCTTTCACTTTTTATTAACAATTTGGCTCAGCAAACTTTTTTTTTTTTTTTTAAAGATTTTATTTATTTGACAGAGCAGGGAGCCTGATGCAGGACTCGATTCCCAGGACCCTGGGATCAGGACCTGAGCCAAAGGCAGATGTTTAACAGACCGAGCCTCCCAGACACCCCAAGTTCAACAAGCTTTTATAGAGGGCCTAGAATGAGTCAGCTGCTATGCTGAGGAAAGCTAAATAAACCTCTCTCCCTTTCTTCAAGAAGCTCACAAGCTCACAGGAGGCAGACAAATAAGTTTAATATAGTGTGATAACTGCAACAATATGAATGTGTCCAAAAGTGAAAGAGAGAAAGCATAAAGAAGAGCAGGGATGAGCTCTGAGAGCCAGGGGGGCGGGAGGAGTTAGGAAGATTTTGTCAATTTCAGTTGGGCTTAAATTTATTAAAAGTGCAACTACAGAGAAACCCCTTGCTTATGTCCTGGAGGTTAGGTGTATTAGTTATTCCAGCAAGCCTGCAGAATAAATTGTACTCAAGAAAAATGCTCTACTTTTGGTGATTGACTAATGGTCTCAGAATCAAGACTCGATGCAAGCTGAACTGTGAACCAAAAATTGAAAATAAGGTGATGGTTGAGAAATAAATTGAAATAAAGGGCAAGATTTGCTCAATCTGAACCATAACCAGTATGTTAAAAAGAAACAAACAGAACAACCAGCATTAAAGAATGTCAGAACTGCAAGAGATCTTAGAGCTGATCTAGTCTATGCTTTTCATTATGTAGGTGGAAAAAATTGAAGCTCAGGGTGATTAAAAACTTATGTAAAGTCACCAGAAGCCACTGATTGGCAGAGGGTAAGATAGAGTGTCCATCATGATCCAAGTTTATTGTTCTTTCAACTTCTTCAACATGCCTGATAGTGTACCATGCAAGAAAAATTTGATTTTATCTTTTCTTTCCAAATAATTGCCTAGTGATAATATCCTAAAATAATCAAATTGAGACAAAATTAAAATGCTGTCCAAATAGAGCATTTACTAATCTGATGTTTTCTTCCGTATGTATAAAAACGTAGGCTTTAAAAATAGAATCTCAACCTTGTTGGCTGCACGCTTGTAATATGAAGCATATGGATTCTTCTTTCATCAGCAACACAGACTATTTGCACTCCAGGCTCCAGCTCTCTCTTAAATTGATTGCTATCCAGCACTCATCAAAAGCTCTGTGGAGGGGATCATTATGAAGGGCACTTACGAGGATGTCCGCTTCTTCCTACAGGTATGGAAGTTCTAAGCTTGTATCAGGTAACATCACCAGAGAGCTAAGAAATGGCATGTCAGTTGCTTGGCCCTCTCTTTGATGACATGAGTTCTAGTGTTACCCCCTTGGCATTGATCAAAGGTGACCGCAAGAAACAATCATGTCAAGATTGTTTCTATATTTTCTAAAAAAAGTGGGGGAGGTATTAAAGACACCATCATCTGTGTTGTTCTAGGCTCTTTGGAAAAGCATAAGCATATTTTGTAATTGGTACCAGGAAAAGATGTTCCATTCAAAGAAGTGGAATGTATACTTCTAAACTCAAATAATAATAATAATCATGAAAGTCATTTTCCTTTCTGTGTTGGCTTCCACAAGGTATAGATTAAATGTTAAATGAAGCTCAATCTTCATACATAGGCTTAAATTGGGGGCATATTTGCTTTTTCCACTAAAAAAGTATTTCTAATCTAACAATGATATTTTCTACAAGTCTCTTACTGTAAGTTATCTCAGATCCTCTTTTGGAAGTAGTGGGGAGTAAATAATGAATAAATATTGAGTCATTGATGACTACGCTGCTTTGTTATTGATAAACGTGTGGTTCCTGCTACACACAGCGCATGCTCAGGAGTTCTGGGGAAAACAAGAGGTACCCAAAACACTGCAGGCAATAAGGGTCTTGAATCCGGCTGTGGGGCTAGAGCATATATAGAGATAAACAATATCAGGTAGCAAATTCTAAAGTGATTTCAAAGATCCATTCTATCTTAAGACTATAAGACTATTAAATTAGTAATTTGGACATTTGGTCAAAGCACATTCTGTTTTGAATCAGCTTAATATTGTTATTTTGGCTAACATTTTTCTGAAGGTGGTAAAATTCTTTGGGTAACTCTAATTCTGAATAAGTTTTCAGAAAAGCAATCACTGTTCATGGTAGAAATTCGGAAAATCAAAAAAGTATAAAGGAGCAAATTAAAATAATATATAATCACACTTTGAGTTCATATTGTATAATATAACACAATATAGATAATTTAGTGTTCCTGCTTTTTCACTTAATACAGTGAGAATTCCTAGATAATAAATATTCTTCAGTAACAAGATTTCTATTGTACAACATTTCATTGAAGGATTTGCTCAACCATCACCTTATTGTTGGAGATTTAGATTGTTTCCAACCTAGTTATCTCTAGTAAATGTAGTACTGTGATCTACATTGTAGTAATAATGATCATGCATTTGTGAAGCACTGTGCCAAGCACTGTGTTAAACACTTCACACAAATTTTTTTATTTAGTCTCATAATAATCCTGTGAAGTAAGAACTGTTGTTCCTTGTTTATAGATAGTGTAACCAAGAAGTAGCAGTTAAAGAGCCCACAGCAAGGAAGAGGATTTAACTCCTAATCTAACATAAGCAAATATTCCAACTTGTTTTTTATGAATAAGTAAAGAGGACTGCTCAAAGATTCCAACTGCCTATTGAAATATGCAATTATTGGCTCCAAATTAAGAAATCTGTGGGATTTTTCTCCATTCCCTTCCTCCCTCTTTACATATTTTTTAAAGGAAGGAAGTGTCTAATGAATATTTAGTGGGCTTTTTTGTTTTTTCTTTTACTTTAGTAATTATTACTCTACTATGATAAAATGGTTATGTACCCTTATGGTCCTTATTGTTCCTTTTGTTTTTATTGAGATACAAGTGACATATAACATTATATTAGTTTCAGGTGTACAATGAAATGATTCAGTATTTGCATATATTGTGAAATGACCAACACAATAAATCTCGTTAGCATCCATCACTACACATAGTCACAAATTTTTTCCCTTGTGATGAGAACTTCTATAGTTCTTATTTTGTAGTCTACACAAGATAGTAGCAACCCAGGCTCCAGAAAGCAGCCTCTCATTTTTATTGGAGGACAGAAAACCACTGTAATTAAGAGAAACAAGAAAAAAAAAAAAAGCGGTGGTATAATTTTGAATATTACCATATTTGGACATGTGCAATGTTCATACATTTTCAAGTACCTAAAGAAATGGAACTGAGTTAAACTAGCTAGCTAGCTCGCTGAGAGGCGGGGCTCCACTCCTGCTGTTTTAATGACTAGATAAGAATGATTTGCAATCAGCTCATCATTTGATGCATATAAAATAAGGGCTTCTAAAGTGCTTAATGATGGTTGAAATTGTTTCATTTCTTAAGCAGTTTAAACTACCGCTGTGGCTTAATGCACCCTTTTGAAAGAGCGCCAAACCGGGTCTGAACTTCCACAAAGTTTCAGTCGGAGAATGAGAATTAACTGAAACTTTAGAGCGCTCAATGATTCTAAAACCATACCACATCTTGTCTAAGCCCGAGGACTAACTTTGGTTTGTGAACGTCCTGGAGCTTCCGATCTCCTGACTTGGGCACCCACCGAATCCCAAGTGTTACAAATGAAGCACTGAAGGCCTGAGAAGTTAGGGAATAAAGGAAGGCGCCAAGGAGGGGCTTACCTCCTGCCTAACCCAACGGTCAGCGGAGAAGCAACCTTGGCTCTTTCAGGCTAGAGGCCTCGGGATGGATGCCCGGCATCCCGCACTGAGGGTGAGTCTCGCTCCATCAAGGGACGGAGTGGCGGCCGTCGGCAGTCTCAGCCCCTCCGCTCCCGGCCCCATCCGGAGTGTCAGGGGCCTTGGGCGGCCTCGCCTTCGGCCAGCAGGAGCAGCAGGAGCAGCAGGAGCAGCAGGAGCCCCAGGAGCAGGAGCAGGAGCGGCTCCAGGGCGCGCCAGGGCGGGTGCCAGGCCCGGGGGGCGGTGGGGAGGGCGGCGGGGTGGGCGCTGGGTGGGAGTAGCGGGCGCGGCCGGCCGCAGGGGCGGGCGTTGCCAAGGCGCGCGCGGTGCGCGTCGCTAGCGGCCGCCCGCGCACGTCAAGATGTGTTTAATAATCGCCAGGGTATTTCTGGCTGGGGCTCCCGGCGGCCGCGGGGGAGGCGGCTGAGGCGCGGCGGCTGTGGCCCAGGGCACCTCCCCCCGGCTTCCCGAACCCTGCGCCGTCTGGCCCGAGGGGGAGGATGGCAGCGCCAGCCGCGCTCTGAGCCCCGCAGGAAAAGAACACCCTTCCCGCCACATCACCCCAGGGTCCTGCGGAGGCCACCGCCTCGTCCCCTCCACGTCTCCATCTCCCAGAGCGGGGCCGAGTGGAAGAGTGAGCGATGGCCGAAAACCTGAGGAAACTGGTCTCGAGCGAACCTTTACGACTGATGCACGACAAGCTAGAGTGCTGGCTGAGGGAGTACAACGTGAGTCCGGGGCTCGCCCTCGCTTTACTTCCTGGCAGAGCGCTCTTAGGGCTGGCTCGGGGTGGTCGCTTATCAGAGCCCCGGCCGGCGTGATTCCTCGCCGGGACCCAGGCTCCCACCCGATGGCGGGGGAGGGAGGAAGGGCACGGGTCGGCCGGTGCCCTTCCGCCCCCCACCCCCGGCGCCAGGGGGCGCTGGGGTGGCGCGGCCCGCGGAGCGCAGACTCGGAGTCCGAGCAGAGAGAGCGCCTTCCGTCCGGCGGTAACCAAGGACGCTGGAGGCCCTAGCAACGGGAAAGCCCAGAAGTCCGCCAGGGGTCCAGCCTGCTGCTTTCCCTTCCATCCCCTCGTTAGCAATCCACCTCCCTATCCCTAACTCGATTTTTTTTTTTTTTTTAAAACTACACCCTTGGTCCTGCCTCTCATCACGTCTCAGGATACTCAGGGCTTGTATCACAATGAATTTTTATAAAAATACTTCCCGGGAGTTATTACCCAGATGTCAGTGAGATGGACACTTGTCAACGTTGCGGGTTTCACTTGTGTGCTGGTCAGCATGGCAAGTAAGGCACAATTTCACACCAAGGCAGACTTCAGGAGGCCTGTTACAAGGCATTTGTAGGAAGCCAATATTCTGTCATCAAACCCATAGAGCTCTTCAAGTCTCATTAATCCCCACCCCCACTCCGGCTCGCGTTAACCTCCCCCGCACATTAAGTACAACTCAGTGTTGCATTTGCTGGGTTTGATCTGTCCGTCTTAAATAGGAGGGTCCCACTCGTACAGTGGGACAGTGAGGCAGACAGAGCTGGGCATCTGTGGACCCGGAATGAGTCCCCCCTTCCCCCACACGAAGTCCTGGGTCTGGCTCTAGATAGTACTAGCTGAATTACCTGGGGCAATTTATTTCACTTCTCTGGGTCTCAGTACCTCATCTGTTAAATAGGACAGACTCACTCAACCAGATCTCAAACTTTTTTGAATTTAAATCAGCTCGTTTCTGAAATCCTACCAGGAAAATTGCAACTGGATGCTGTCTGAGTCTCTGGGCTTTCCAGTTCACCCTTTGACCAGGGCTCCTGTGGTGGAGGGGAGCTCAAACTACACCTACAGCTTTCTCCTTGCCCCCTTTCTAGTGTTCAGTGTTTACCATCTTTGCCCACTTTTAAAGAATGAACACTGTGACTATTCCTTTCCCATTCGGATTGCAGGAAAATTAAAATTTACTTCTTTTTTTTTTAATTTTTATTTATTTATTTGACAGAGAGAGAGACAGCAAGAGCAGGAACACAAGCAGGGGGAGTGGGAGAGGGAGAAGCAGGCCTCCTGCCAAGCAGGGAGCCCTATGTGGGACTCGATCCCAGCACCCCGGGATCATGACCCGAGCCGAAGGCAGACGCCTAACGACTGAGCCACCCAGGCGCCCCAAAATTTACTTCTTACTACCTCTTATAGCATATTATTTCTTCCTTTTTCCCTTCCCCACTTCCTTCCTTCCTTCCTCCCCCCGCCCTTTCTTTCATTATTACCCCTTGGCCTGAATAAACTCTGAATGTTAAAAAGTATATTTAGTTTGGGGGTGCCTGGTTGGCTCAGTTAGTAGAGCGTGGGACTCTTCATCTCGGGGTTGTAAGTTTGAGCCCCACATTCGCTGTAGAGATTACTTAAAAAAATAAATAAGTTTTTTTTTTTTATAGAAAGTATATTCAGTTTGCCACAAGACAATGTTTAACACAAATGACATTAACATTTGACTGGATCAAATTTAATGATTGTTTTAGAAACTATTCATAAGTACTGAGAAATGCCAAAATTTATTACACTCTCCTTTCTCAGTAACAGTAGTCCCCCCCCACTCCTCTACCGTCACTGAAATCATTTCACTCTAGATTCTCTCCCCCATGCCAAGCTCCTCCCCCCACCTTCATAGAGACTGCACTCTTGGAGACCAATGCCCTTCCAAAAAATCTGTGGCCATTTCCCCATGCAATCATTTTCTTGGACTATCTAGTGTTTCTGTTACATTTGACTGTTGACACCTCCATTCTTCTAAGGCTCTAAAAATTGGTCTCCTTGCCTTACCCACTTTCCTCCTATGGCAGTTCCTTAAGACTTTAGGAATCTTCTCTTGGGCCTCCATTCTTGCTTCTCTCTTACACATATGCCCATGAATCTCATATCCATATTCAGGGCCTCTTCTCATCTGAGCTCACTTCTCCAATTACCCATTAGACATTTTCAGTTGTGCTATTGTCATCTCAAAGTCAAATCAGTCTAAAACCTATCTTAGCTGACCTCTTTCTTGACTTCACTGTCTTCATCATGACACACCCCACAACATTTTTGCCAGCTTAATCTGTTGACACCTACTTCGAAATTCACACAGAACCCTTTCACCACCTCTGCTGTAATCACCCTTGTCCACCTTCCATCATGGTTCATCTAGATTATTGTAAAAATATCTCAGAGTGATTCTTCTAAATGTCAAGTCAGATCAAGTTACTTCTCTGATAAAATCCTCAGACTTTCTGTCCCACTCAGAATAAAAGCCAAAGTTCCTGCAATGGCCATCAAAGTCCTACACAACTGTGCTCCTTTAAACTCTGACCTCATCTGTTACTCCCTTCTTCACTCTACTCCAGCAATACTGGTCTGGTTGTTCTTTCTAGAGCAAAGCTTTCCAATAGAACTTTCTATAATGGACATGTTCTATACAGGCACTGTCCAATATGGTGGCTATTTGGTACTTGAATTGTGGCAAGTACAAACTGAGGAACTGAATTTTAAATTTCATTTAAATTTAAAAAAATTAAATTTATTTAAAGTTTAATTAACTTAAATCCAAATTGTCACATATGGCTAGTGGCTACTCTATTGGGCAGAAGAGTCTAGAGCACACCAGCTGGTCTCCTGCTTCAGGGCATTTTGCACTCCCTGTTCCTCTCTGCCTGGAAAACTTTTGCCTGTGGATATTTCAGTAAGATATCAACATCTTTGCTTTCTCTCCTCCTTCAAGTCTTTGCTTAAATGTCACCTTCCCAGGAGAGACCATTCTGTTTACAATTGCCATTTCCTATCCCTGCCCCTGGCACTCACTGTGTCCCTTCTCTGCTTTGTTTCTTCTGTAATAGCTACATCTTCTAATTTTTACTTATTCTTTCATTGTCAATCTTTCCTCTCTCCTTCCCACTAAAATGTAAGCTCCAGAGGGCAGAGATTTCTCCCTTTCTCTGCTCATCTCTGTATTCCCAGCACTTAGAATAATGCTTGCCTCCTAGTAGTTGCTCAATAAATACTGACTGATTGAATGCTACCACCATTCTCCTAGATACCCGGGTTCTTGGACTCATTTGTCTTCTTAAAACCTCATATCCAGTGTAGAATTAAAGATGATCCCCAAGTATCTTTAATTCAGCCTTTGTTAAAATTGAATAAAAAACCCAAGATTTCCAAGTAGGGGCACAATTGAGAGGATGCAAGTGTTTTTAATAGTTTTTTGTGTGTGTGGTGTGTGTGTGTGTGTAGCTAAAGAGAGAGGATAAGAAAATATATACCACCTACCAAAATTAAGGTTACCTCTAGACTTATTCAGTATCTTGTCACATAGAGTGTGGGTTTTGGTCAATGGCTAAGAGCTTCCCTGTAATACCGCAAGTTCGTTTTACTAGTTCTGAGGACTTTTTCCTTGAGGCCTTAAGATGAAGAATAGTCATTGTAGCAAACTACATTTATTAAAATGTTGGTTGTAGAGGTTTGTTCATTAAAAGCTTTTAATTATGTTTGCTATGGAAAGTTGATTTTGCTGACTGTGACCACATTGATTTAGTTCTAATTAACTCAAGCAAAATAAAAGGCCATAAATACCACTCTAGAATTAAGAATGGGATTAAAGTTCCCCTTGGGAAACAGTTATTTTCAGTGAAAAAGATCAATGACTTGAACAGACTAGTTCTAAAACACAATGCAAAAATTTCATTTTCCTTCAAACTAGCCATTATTGGGATGAACAGTTAGATCCTAGTTAATTTTTCTTCTTTCATATAATTTCCTTCATATGGATTCCCATTTCCTCTGCCTTAATCTGTCCATCACCACTCTTTTCATTGGGTCCTATGTATGTGGTCAGACACAGTACATTTTTTAAAAATGTAATTTTCTGCCCCAAAGCCTTTGGTTTTTATTTGTTGGCTCGCTTTTAATCTTACGACATCTAGCAATCTTATGGGCCCTATGCAAAACCACTACTTGCTTAATTTTTTAAAGATTTATTTATTTAAAACAATTCCAAGAAGGGATATTTTTCAAAACCCCACTAGAGAAACACAATAAAAACAACAGCAAACATTGCCAATTCACTTTCTTTTAGTTATTAAAGAGAAGCTGAATTATTGTATTACTTGGTCTTTAAAACTTGGATTCCATTGGCTGTTCAAGGACAGCTTGGTACAAACTTTTAACTTTCAGAATTGTTTTTCCTCCTCAGTGGTTACTGAGACTGTTGGTGAAAGAACCATAGAAAATCTCTCCTTGTTCAACCAAGAACTGAGCCAATTATTAAGAGCTTAATAATTCACTCAATAAATCGTTATTTAGCTTCTGCTATGTGTGAAGGTTTGGCCTAGACATTCTATATTTACACTTTGGGCAGTGTGCCTTTATTGATTAACTTACTCATTCAACAAAAGATTTTTTCAGAGTTTATGATATGACTGTGCTAGATGCTGGGAATAGAAATATCAGCTTCATCTTAATGATAAACTTCCAGTCAGAGATGCAGACGAAGGGTAGAGGAAAGAGCATGTGTAAAAAGTGGGGAGGCAGGAAGAAGCTGGCCTATTTGGGGGCCTATGAATGGTTCTAGGCAGGGAGAGGAAGTGAGATGGGGCTGAGGAGGTGGGGCGGTTGGGGCCAGAGGGTAGAAGCTTTGGGTGGTGTGTTAAGGAGTTTGGGTATTATCCCCAGGGGGCAATGGGGGGTGGGACTAAAAGCATCACGCAATGA